ATCAAACTCAATGCCTCAAGTATGAGAGGCAAGCACTTTACCACTGAGCTACAGCCCCAGCTCCTAAACTAATTATTTAAAATCGGGCAGGTATATGACTTTCAGCCGTTCTATATACTACCTAGATAAATTCATAATCAAATATTGCCTTTTGCTGTTGTTAGTTAGGTCATCTCATAAGATCTCACTATTTGATAATTCTATATTAGGTAGTAGCAAATACAGTGAAAATCTCTATTCCAGGATCTTCCTTAAATTAAATTAAATTTATAGCTTGGATTTGAAATATGTCCCCCAACTGCTCATGTGCTGAAAGATTAGTCCGTAGAACAGCAATGTTCAGAGGTGGAGATCTTGGGAAGTGATTGCATAATGAAGGCTCAGACTCAGTAGATTAATACATTGAGGGATTCATAGCTGGACTACTGGGAGGTGGTGAAAACTGTAGAAAGTGAAACCTAGTTGGAGGGACTTCGTTCTTGTGGGAGGGCCCTTGTGAACTTGTTTTCCTACCCCTCACTTCAATAAGGTGAGAGGCTTTCTTCCCCAAAACAATAGAGCTGGCCAACCATGGACTGAAACCTAAAACCACAAGCCAAGATAAATATTTCCTCCTTTTAAGTTGTTATTCTTAGGTATTTGGTCATAGCGACAAAAAGCTAACACAGTGGACCTCACTTACATTCTCTCATCTCTCAAACAAGCTCCTTTTTATAAAATAAGAAATATAAGAAAACATGAATTATTTTCTTGGGAAAATTTAAAGTCTAAAAATTGTGGCAAATAAAGGTAAAGTTATATACCTCCTAAAATGTAAGAGCTTTAGATTTTAATATGGTCCATTATACAAATGTCAGACGTTTAGTGCCTTTCTTTTGTTTTGATAGAATGCAAAAACAAATATTGAAATACATAAGATACAAACTTAAATAAGATACCCATCTTTGAAGAACTCTAAACATGTCAAATAAATAGATTACAATGCAACATAAAAAAACAAGTTCAAAGTGCTCTAAAGGCCTAGTAAAGGAGCGAATTCTGCCTAGAACAATAAGGGAAGACTTCAAAAACAGATATTTTTAGTAGATCTTCAGTATGTATAAGACTTGTTATGACTTTTTTTAATGGCTTATTGGTAAAAGTAAATCATGTACCGTAAGAATTATGTATATATATAAACGTATTTGCCAATTATTACTTTAAGGCAATCAGATACTAATTATCTTATAGTTAATTTTGAGCACACATAAATAATGCTCAAATACATCAAGGATTTTTCTAGGAAACATGATAAAATAAGGAACTTAATTACCAGCAGTATGCTTCCTTGGGGTAGTCCGAACTGAGTATTCAAAGTCGGGTACTGCTCTGCTACTCAAATGAAGGTGGTAGTTTCTTGCTTCATCCAATAAATCTCTACATTTTAGATTCTGCTTGACAATCTGCTCTTTCGCCACAACACCCATAAGAAAATCAATTGGTAATAATGGCAGACGAACCTAAGATTATGAATAGTTGCAATATAAAATTTAATAGTAATAGAATAACCTTTTCTCTACTTTCTTTTAAAGTATGTTCTCTTTTTAAAACGTACATAGGGGCTGATGGTGTGCTCAGTGGTACAGTGCATAGTGTGTGCAAGGCCTTGGGTTCAATCCCCAAAACCACAAAAACAATACTGCCTTAAATGCTTAAAAAACAAAAAACAAACAAAAAAAACTAAAAAAAATCAATCTAATTATAATCACACTTTGAAAGGTTTACTTATCTTCCTATAAATATTTAAACACTGGTAATTATAAGCAATTTTGTTCTTAATATTTGTTAAAATTTGGGGCGGGGAGGTGGTACTGGGGATTTACTCAGGGGCGCTGAGCCATATCCCCAGCCCTATTTTGTACTTTATTTAGAGACAGGTTCTCACTGAGTTGCTTAGCACCTCACTTTTGCTGAGACTAGCTTTGAACTTCAGATCCTCCTGCCTCAGCCTTCAGAGCCACTGGGATTACAGGCGTGCACCACCAGCACTCCGCTTGTTAAAATTTTTGATAATACCAGTAAGAAATTTTTAGTAAAAAGTGGCATAATTATCACAGATAATCTAATGTTTTAATCTGGCACAAAATTTTAATAAAGCATCTAACTTTGAAAAAAGTAAATAAAACTATTCTTCTTTTAAAAGCAATATCATTTTACTTCTTAGGAATAAATGAAAGGAGGACTGAAAGAAAGGAAAAAAAGAAGAGGGAGAAAGAATAAGAAGCAGAGGGAAGGGGACAGAGAGAGAGAAAATAAAGGAAAAGACACAGATACCGAAGGGCCTATATATTAGTTCCCTATCTGAATAACCCCTGTTGACGGTTTTTAAAATAACAATAATAACAGACACATTTCTGAGGTGAAAAAAAGTCTCAAAACTGTGGTAAGGAAAGAAAATGGAAAGTGATGTATGATTTCTTTTTTCCAGAATAAATCAATATGCATTAGGAATAACTGTATTTTCATCAGTAAAATAAATCATTAAAAGTTTTACATTATAATAGGTTATAAACGATATTACTTTAGAGCTATTTCCTCAGAATCATTTTCTATTAACATAAACATATTCATTACTGTGATCTTGAAAGACTATTTTAAATATTCAGATTACAAATCATTCAAATGTGACAGATTTATCCTAAAACAGTATAGGAAATGAACTGAAAACAAGAGAATCTGGGCTGGGGTTGTACCTCAGTGGTGGAGTGCTTGCCTCTCAAGCATGAGGTACTGGGTTCAATCCTCAGCACCACATAAAAAAAATAAATAAATAAAAATAAAGATATTGTGTCCATCTACAATTAAAACATTAAAAAACAAGAGAATTGGGCTGGGGATGTGGCTCAAGCGGTAGCTCGCTCGCCTGGCATGTGTGCGGCGTGGGGTTTGATCCTCAGCACCACATACAAATAAAGATGTTGTGTCCGCCGAAAACTAAAAAAAATAAATATTAAACTCTCTCTCTTAAAAAAAAAAAAGAGAATTTAAGCTATTTTCATCGTTGTATTACATCAGTGGTTTCTGTATTCCCTCAAATAAAGTATATTTTCATAATGAATAAAACCTGTTGATCTGCTTCCATAGTACTTCATTTACATACACAATCAGCCCTACCTGTGCCAGTGTTTCATCCAACCATTTAGAATGATGCTGAGGATTGGCAAGAAGCCACTTGATGGCAGCACTATAAACCTGCTTTTCATTCTCAATATTTAAATCGCTGGAGGACAAAAGCTTATGGAGGTGCTGGGGTGACACACTTACAAAGTCTTCACACTCCACAACTTCAGTAAAATGTTCACAGGCATACTGATCTGCCATATCCATTAAGTCTATTCGATTGTGACTTTCAGCAAAGGCTCTTACTGCCAGGCAATTGGAGGGATGAAAATGTAATTTCATGTATTCACAACAAGCTCTAGCCACCAGTTCCACCTGAAGAATACAGGCTGCATATAAGAGAGGCTGGACATTGTCAACAGTCAAAGTGATCCGTGAAGAATAGACAAACTTTACCAAGTCTTCTATTGCATCACCATCAAAATCTCTAATCTCAATCAGAGTTTGTTTGGCTTCAGCCATTTCAGAGAGAAACATGGCTCTGAAATAGGGAATAACACAAGCCAATACCAGCTTGTGACAAGAGATGAGCTTTGAGCCAACCTGTTCAAAACAAATAAAAAAAAATTAATCAAAATTAGCTTCAGATAAGCACAGAGCATGTATTATAGTACAAAATCTCCAGACAATTTGGATTATTATATTAATAATGTAATTCTCTGGTCACTTACATTCATTTGAGGCCAATTTCTTAAAGTCAGGCAATTTTCACCTCCCAAATTACCCACTTAAATTGTATCTACAACAAACTGATTTTTTTTTCTTTTTTGTGGTGCTAGGGATTGCACCCAGGGCTTGTGCATGCAAGGCAAGCACTCTACCAACTGAGCTATAGTCCCAGCCCCTATATTATCTCTTCTTTTAAGAACATTTTGACAAAATAAAACATCATTTGTCACTTATACCAAGCATTTTTAAAGTGCTTTTCACATACTAACTCACTTAATTGTCCCAACACCAAAATGAGAAGGTACAACTATTGTCCACAACTTATTAATCAGAAAACTGAACCACACAGTAAATAAAGCAACATTTAGTAGTATTTATTATGAGCTCAACTGAGCTCATTTTCTATTTAAATTATTTTGATATGATGTATTTCATATAAAAGTAGTAAAGATAAAATATTGAAATCTTAGTACCTTGTTAAAAAAATTAAAGATTGCTTCCAATAGTGTGTCATTACACTTGTAACTGAATCTTTGTTCACATTCTCTTTATTCCCACAAAAACTCCTATAAAGAGAAATACTGCTTCAAAGGATAGGTATAATGTGAATACATACCACTAAATTGTCCATTTCTGAGCTACTTAAAAATATTTGTTCTATATTCTGGGTATTGTTAAGAAATTGTTGCTAATCTGATTACTGAAAATATTACTCATCTCCTTTTATAAGATTAAATTATCAATAAATTTGAGGCTATTTGTATTCTATGAACTATGAATTTTTTTCTTATTTGTAAGAACTTATACATTTAGAATATTAGGCATTTATCAAATATATTTCAAATTTTTTGCTTTTACAGATTATATAAAAACATATACTGTGGGGACTGGTGTTATGGCTCAGCAATGCTCACCTAGTATGTGTGAGGTGCTAGGTTCAATCCTCAGCACCACATAAAAATAAATAAATAAAATAAAGGTATTGTGTCCAACTACAACTGAAAAAATATATTAAGTTATAATATCCTGGCACATTATAATAAATAACCAATGAAGAAAATGTAATAACAAAAGCAATTTTCTTTTGTCTGTGTGTTGGTTATTATATCATAAACTTATAGTTTTGTCTCATTTTTTGAAAGTTAATACTAAAATAAGACCTTCTAAGTAAAGAGGCTATAGAAGCATTGTAATGAACAGTTTTGCTTATAAATGTTCCTTGCCCAATCTTTTTTTCACTAATATGAAAACAGAACAAATATCACTTATTTTAACAAATACAAGATGATCATTTCTGTCTGCTATACCATATTTAATTTTTAAACAGAATTCATCAGGCACAATTTAGATTTGGGACTCAAGTTACAACACAGGCTACTACATAAAGTTTAGCATGCTTTCAAATTAAACTCAGCCTAAAATGGAATCTGAAATCTGATATTTAAAAAAATAGTCTAAAATATCCTTTTAAAAATTATCTGAACATACCACCACTGAGATTCAGATTCATAGAATAAGTTTTTGTAATATGACATACTTAACTAAATGACTTGCCAACACCTGATTACATGATGGTACTATAAAATAAGATTCTACCATTATTTAAACACTGACTTCCCACTTTACCTGTATAAGTCTATGGTCAAGTTATTTTCATGCTAATTTTAGTAAGACCCTGTCCCTTTACAACTCTATTTTAATCTCTTGCTTTAAATAAACAAAAATGTGGCTTTCCCCCCTGTACATCTTAATGTATGCTTTTGTAATAAATATCCACTTTACCTTAAAAAAATATGTGAGTTATACATATGAAATACGTACATCTAAGGATGTATGTTTTTTGTTTTTTGCTACCAGGGATTGAACTCAGGGGCACTCAACCACTGAGCAACATCTGCAGCCCTATTTTGTATTTTATTTAGAGACAGGGTCTTACTGAGTTGCTTAACACCTCGCTTTTGCTCAGGCTGGCTTTGAACTTCAAATCCTCTTGCCTCAGCCTCCCAAGCTACTAAAGTTACAGGCATGCACATGGCTATTTATTATGTAGTATTTATTATGAAATATTTATTAGAAATAAATAGTATTATTCAAAATAAATCAAAATCCAAAGATGAAAAATATACAAACCTGGTGTTTAAAACTAGATGAAGAATAAGCTATAAAATACTACAACTTACTGTATAATTTTAAATTATAATACTATACCTGTATGTGTCCTCAATATTAGTGAATTTCCTAACTTAACAATTCTTTTTTCTTGGATCAGTGAAAATATGAATAATTCAAGGTAGCTTAAAATTTAAGTAATAAAATGTCGAATATCAACATTAATAACATGATTCCTTATGTTTTTAAAAAAAACTTGAAACATAATAAATCAAAATCCTGAGTAATTTTTCATAATAAAACAAAGACCTTTAGATTATTAAAGCATCCTGCTTTCACCATGGAGATGTAGAGAAAGGGGGAAATTAGGCATCCTTCATTTTTAGTGCTGATTCACATTTAGGTCCAACCAGAAAAATTACATGACAAACTAAGCAGAACTCTGATCAAGATAATTGATCTGCTCAAATATAAATCGAACTAAAAAGGACATAAAAGAACATTAATTAACAAAGAGCATTAAAAATTCCATTAACATTGTTCTGACTTACAATATGAACCTACCTATTGGCCTACAGTAAATGTCATTTATTTCTCCTCCTGACTAAAATACATGTTTAATATGTGAAATCAAGAAAGCACAGAAAAACTCAAGGGAAATTTTTTTTCATTTATTCAACAACTGTCAATCAGTTGGTGTATTTATATCCAACTTTTTCTACACATTTTGAAACATACCTGAGATTTTCCTGAAATGTGTAATCTTTTCCTAAGTGTCTAATACCTTTTGTAACCCTCCTGTTTATTGGTGTGTGTTTTTCTATTCAGTGGACATAACATTATTGGTCATGTGGACAATACTAACCATTTTAACCATTGCGTTTAATTTTTTCCACATTTTAAACACAAACGTATCTTAGAAAGGTTTTTTTTTTTTGGTATATCAGAATATTTCCTTGGAATAAGATATGAAAATCAAAATTCATCAATCAAAGAAATTAGTGTTTTGTAGCTTGATATATGCTGCCAAATTGCTCTGACAAAAATACTGGACCAATTTACACATTCAGCAGCAATATTTGGGAAAACCCCATGAAAATTTGAAAAGCAATAAAAACATGTTTCAAAAATTCAATGTTGAAAGTGAACATTTTTTATTTAATTTTATTTCTCAGCTATTCAATACTTTTCAAAAATGTCACTTGAAATGACAGTGTCCTTTTGGTACCAGAAATTTAACCCAAGGGCACTTTACCACTAAGCCACATCCTTTTTATTTTTTTATTTTTGAGATATGGTCTTGCTAAATTTCTTGGGGCCTCGCTAAATTGCTGAGACCTCTACCTTTCGATCCTCCTGCCTCAGTCTCCTGAGTTGCTGGGATTGCGGTATGCTCCACCATGCCAGACAAAGAACAAGAGAAATAAATACTAAAAATAAAATTTAAAAACCCTCTATATCCAAACCTTCTGTACACCATTATAAACTAAACTGTATTCTAATCTTTCAATTTAATCCCTAGTAATTTTGCTCTATAACTACTTTTTCCAATAGTACACCAATTGGCCAAAATGTGTTTAATTGCCAACGCCTAAAAGAGAAGGGGTTAAATAGTGGTACCAGACTCAAGGTCTTAACTTGTATTACATCACAACATCTAGCTTCTATAACAACTAGCTCTATAACTAACATATACTACATCTTGACTAACCTTATATTGCATTCACTTCTTTATGTTTTTTTTCTTTTTGGTTGGTTGTTTTGTGGGTTTTTTTTTGGGGGGGGGTTACCGTCAACTGACCCCAGGGTCACTTGATCACTGAGCCACATCCTGTCTCAACTTATGCAGTCAAGTGGGAGAAATAAAGAATCTCCACACACTTCTGCTCTTTTCAATGCTTTATTCACACAAGTCACTCAATATAATTTCACCCTATAGGTTCTTAACCAAGAAAACGACAATCTTTAAATCTAGGTACTGCAATAGACATAATCAATTCACAGCAAAAAAATTCTAGATTAATTCTAAGCACTGCAAATACATGACAGGCTCATTATAGACATACCCTCTGCATGCTAAGCTCAAGTGTCAGATCAAAAGTCTCAAGCCTTAGGCTTTAAGTCCAGCAGATGCACACTTGGTCAGACTGGTGATCAGATCAGAAGCCAAGGCAGGTTTCTCCTGGGGTGGAGCTGACCGTTGACAGAGGTGGTGGTCATAGGGAGAAATCCTTTTTCCACCAAAGTCAAGAGGCTGCTATAGAGTTTGAGAGCAGTGAGAACAATGAGGATCAGACAGATGAGAAGAGTTAGGATATCAATTTAGGTCTCTCATCAGGCTCTCAGGCTTATGTGTGCATATCTGTTCATTTGCTCCATCATTTATACTAAATTTTGGGGCTTCAATCTCTATCAGTGCTACCAGATTTCTCAGTGACGTCACTGTCTTAAAGTTAAAGCATCTGGTCTGGTGGTCCCCACCCCGATTCTTCCTTCTCGCTCTTATCTGGGCAACATGGCAACATGCCAGAGATTTCACTCTGAGTTTGTCAGGCTGGGGAGAAGTGACTTATTTGTGGCTGAGGGTCATACTGGAGGGTTCCATAGGTGTGCCTGGTGAGACTGTAGGTTTCAAAGTGGAATTTTTTAAATGGAGTTGCTTAGGCTAAGGCCTGAGACCATCCTTACACATCCTCAGAGAAAGGATCTCACTGAGTTGCTTATCACCTCCCTACAAGGTCCCTGCTTAGCATCTGGATGGCCTTCTTAAGGGTCGGTCACCATTTTAAGGAAAAAGTTTCCCTTTCCTGCTCAAGGGCATTTCTGAGAAAGGCTCACCACTCCCTCATATCACCC